GGCGTGGGCGAGGGCGTGGGCGAGGGCACGGGCGAGGGCGCGGGCGTGAGCTTCGGCCGGCGCGCCGGCGCGGGCTCCTCCGGGAGCGGCGCCCCGCCGGCCTCCGCCGCCGCGACGAGCCGCGCCAGCTGCCCCTCCAGGCCAGCCAGCGCCTTGGTGAGCTGCGCCTCAGCGCGCCCCGGCTGCGCAGCCCTCAACGCGTCCAGGCCCTCTGAAAGCTCTAACCTCGCCCCCCTCAGCCCCGTCACCAGCCCTGCGGCCGCGTCGCGCCACCTGGCCGCGTCCGCCCCCGCCGCCGCCGCCGCTGCCTGCGCCGCGGACGCCTCCTCACTCAAACGGGCCACCTCGGTGCGCAAAGCGGCGGCCTCTGCGGCGTCCTCCACAGGGGTGTCCGCTGCCAGGGCTGGCGCTGGCGCCGGCGCCGGCGCGGCCTCGGCAGCAGGCGGCGGCGGCGCGGGTGCGGCTGCGGGTGCCTCGAACGCAGCCTCGGCCGCAGGGCGCGGGTCCGGGGTTATCTGTGTGCTGCCCGCGTCGCCCCAGCGCGCGGCCACGATCACGGCTTCCGCCCCCTCGGGCAGCGCGGCCTTGTGATTCGCGCCGGGCTCCCAGGCGGGCGCCCCTGCCGCGGGGCAGATCAGGAATTTGAACTCGATGTCCTGGCCAGCCGGCAGCTGCGCGGCGCCTTCCCACTTGTCGCCCTCCGACCAGGTGAGCTTCAGGGCGGCGTCGGGCGACCACGAGCCCAGGCTGGGCGCGCCGCCCACGACGCGGACGTGCTCGCCAAACCTCACTGGTGTGGTGATCCGGAAGCGCGCGGTCGCTGCGGCGTCGACGTCAACCTCGCCATCGGCGCTGTCGGTCGCAAAGCGCACGACCGCGAGGCCGCTGCGCGTGCTGCGGGGGGCGCGGCCGGCTGCACATACAGGTGCGGCGGCGGGCAGCTGGGTGCCATGAGCGGCCGCCGCGGTCGTGCGAGCGACGCGCCCCCGCCGCGCCAACAGCATGTTTGCGGGCACGCGGCCAGGCCAGCGACTTCCTTTGACAGCCGCACGCATGATATCTGCCGGTTTCGTATATAACATGTGTGCCGTACGCCTTGCGTGACACTCAGGCTGTACTAGCGCAGATCACAATGTGCAGAGTTCGCACATAAGGTATGCTATTTCAATGTCATAATCATATGATGATGAATTATCAGTGAGAGAGACGTATGAGGTAGAACCTGCGTAAGATCTCATGTTCAAACACGCAACAGGGGCGCCAAACGGCCCACACCAGGACACCCACTCGAAAACAGTTGAGAAATCGGCACACAGCGCACATGGCTCGCCACACAAAGTTTTGGCCGGACACTGCGACAGCCCTGCCAGCCCTACAGTACGTCGTAAACTCACGTCATCAGGGGCCGTGTGGGTGCCATGTTTCAACTTGATGACGACTTGCTGCAGTTTGGGCGAGCCTTTTTGGCGTAATGCACACGTACACTGCTGAATTCTGGTGCAGAACGCCACGCACGGGAAGGTGGGGGCACCCTCCAATTACTCGCAGCCCGTCGTTTGCGTTGCAACCCCGCCGCGCACTCCTCCGTTGTTCCAGGCGGCAGCTCCAACCCCCGCATGCCATCCCTTGATATGCCTGATGTGCGCATGTTTTGTGGTCACGCACTGATAGCCGTGTGCAACGCGGCCAGGGCGGCAAGGGTCAGGCCATAGTGACATCAGCACATGCTGATAGGGCTGCATGCCATTCAGGGTGATCAACATGAGCGAAGCTGAAACAGGGATGTTGCACGTTTGCACATGTGACGGCGCCTGCCACTGTGATGACAATTTGCTGGGATGTGGCAGGAGCTAGCTGGTGCCAGTCGTTGGGCCGACCTAGTCCGCTGTAGCGCGTCAACGCAGGCTGAAACCCTGTGTCGGTGGGCTGAATGCAGGCCTGCAAGTCGGGTACTGCCCACTTGCTCTGCCTTCCTCCCTCTTCCACTGAAAATGTGATCATGCAGGTAAATAACATCCCGCAGGGGCCACCACTTGAGTGGATGGAGCTCTGTCTCAGGGGGGCAGCGAGGCTGTCTCAAGGCAATGCGCACGCCGTGGAGTCCCGGCGGCTGCATGTCGTGCCATGCGAGTTATTGACAGCCCTCCTGCAAGGAGAATTTACGATGGCCAAGCAGTAACATTGATCACGCAAGGTGTTGAGGGAACAACTTATGAACAAAAGGTGCAGAAACAGGAACACAAGCAGCCCAGGTAGCTTGTTTTCAGCTGCCGCGTGCAAAGCAAAGGATGCTTGGCTGGTGGCCTGTCGGCCGGGGAGGAAGCGCTCATAATGTTTTGCAATGGCATTGCGCAGCGCAGCGCACGCGTCTGTGTCCGTACAGTGACCGCGGCGGCTCGTGCATGCCTGCTCGGCACGCGTGCTCAGGCCCTGGCTTCCCGACGTGAGTTTCGCTGCCTGCCAGAAGCAACGAAGCCTGCACGCAGTCGATCCACAGCCGCTTTGCTCAGATCCATCCTCCACCGCCTAACGAACCCTCCAAACCAGGAGGCGTGGCGCACCCGCTCACCGCCACCCCCGGCACTCGTCGAGCCGGCAGCGCGGCTCCGCGTGCGGACGCTCCTCCTGCCGCTGCCGTGTGCGAAACCGCGTGGGGTGCGCGCGGGGTGCTGCGGGCAGAGGCGG